TGCGACGAACCCGTGCGCTGTCGCTTACGTGAGGAGGCGACGCCTCCGGGGTTTATCTCACGGCGGATAAAATATTCATTTCAAAGGCGCTTGGCAAACAAATGAGCGCGGCAGAAATACAGATTGTGTTTGCTAATGGTAACGCGGTTGCCAAAGAACGTAGGAACCGCTATTTACTAGGAGGGAAATTCCTCTCTTCCATGTGAGAGGCTGGAGCTGAACAGCCCGGGATCGCAGTTCTCCTGACACGCCGCTTCTCGGTCGGGATGCTGGTGCGGTGCTTCATGGGGGGAGGCAGCGCTGCTCTGTGGAGGAGCCGGCCAAGCCCTCACAGATGTTGATTCGTGGTGAGATCCTCTGGGCTTCGGCGTGGTTGGGACCGAGAATCACCAGGAAGGCCGAAGGGAGGGCTGTGCTCGTGTGCGTGGTGCCTGGCCGCTCTGGGGAGAGCCGCTGCCTGGCTGCAGTGTGAAAGACTTTTTGGAGCTCAGTCCAGTTAGATGGCACCTTCCCCAGCTCCTTGCGTCCTCCTTGGGCTTCTTATTGCTGGGACCGGGAATGTCCTGTTGTGCTGAGGATCAGAGAGTTCCCCGTCCTCATGTAGTTTCTGCCGAGGAGGAGCGATGCCACCTTGCCCAGGGCAGGTTTGGGGCCTCGGTGTTTGCTGTGGGCAGGCAAGGCAACGTATACGTATGTGTGTAGAACCATAGAACGGTTTGGGTTGGAAGGGACCTGAAAGACCATCTGGTTCCAACCCCCCTGCCATGGGCAGGGACATCTTCCACCAGACCAGGTTGCTCAGAGCTCCATCCGACCTGGCCTTGAACCCTGCCAGGGAGGGCACAGCCACAGCTTCTCTGGGCAACCTGGGCCAGGGCCTCACCACCCTCATGGGGAAGAATTTCTTCCCAATACCTAATCTAAATCTGCCCTCTTTTAGTTTAGAGCCGTTCCCCCTTGTCCTATCCCTACACACCCTTGTGAAAAGCCCCTCTCCATCCTTCCTGTCGGCCCCTCCAGGCACTGGCAGCTGCTCTAAGGTCACCCCGGAGCCTTCTCTTCTCCAGGCTGAACAGCCCCAACTCCCTCAGCCTGTCCTCGGAGGAGAGGTGCTCCAGCCCTCGGATCATCTCCGTGGCCTCCTCTGGACCCGCTCCAACACATCCCTGAGTACAGTACAGTACATATGCATTACAGTGTAGTGATTGTGTTGGGGTTGGTGATCTCCAAGCAGAGAGGGGACTCACCCAGCCCTGAGGACTTCTCGGCTGGGGCTGAGCATCCCGGCAGCTCCCTGAATCCACTGGGGACCAGTCCGTGGGTTTCCAGTTGGAAGCAGGGTTTGGCTTTGAAGTTACTGTTTGCAGCTTTGGAGATAGGTAAGAGGAGAACTGGGGGACGGGGAGATGAATGTGAGCATTCATGTGTGGAATTCTCTTGAAAATATTGTATTTCAGTATTGTGGGTGTCAGGACGATGGATCCAAACTCTTTCCAGTGGTGCCCAGCGACAGGACAAGGGGCAACGGGCACAAACTGAAGCCGAGGAAGCTCCAGCTGAACCCGAGGAAGAACTTCTTCCCTCTGAGGGTGACGGAGCCCTGGCCCAGGCTGCCCAGGGAGGCTGTGGAGTCTCCTTCTCTGGAGATGTTCCAGCCCCGCCTGGCCGCGGTGCTGTGCAGCCTGCTCTGGGTGACCCTGCTTGGGCAGGGGGTTGGGCTGGGTGACCCACAGAGGGCCCTGTCAACCCCTGTCATCCTGTGATTCTGTGACTCTGTAATCCTGCGCCGTCCGCTCACTGCGAACGATGCCTGTGCTGGAGGGGATGCTGCCGGGCGCTGGGGCTTCAGCACCTGGGTTGTCTTTGTGCCCCGCTGGTGCTTCTTCAGAGCAGGCACTCTTGTTTGTTTCCCAAAAAACCCTTGGATAGCTAAAAATTAGGCTTTTCATTCCCATCTGCATGCCAACATACCCTGCCGTTCACTGAGGCCGTTGGGATTATTCAAGGCCGGGGCATCACTGCACCTTTTTTACTGAAAAAATGGAAGGGTTGTGTTTGTGTTAGGACAATATTCTTGAAAAACGTGGTTGCAGTCCCTGCTGAAAAGCTGTTTTCTCTCTGGAAGCGTGTCGTGTGTTCGTGCCAGCGAGGGCCTGGGAATGTGGTGCTGCCCTGCTTGCAACAGGTTTGACAGCTCTGCTCTGTTTTCCCCATATTTTCCCTCAAAAACCCAGTGTACTCGGTAGCCCAGTAGCAGGTTGAAAAACCTCGGTGTGTGCGTTTTTACTCTCGTGGGTCTTTTTTAAGCTGGGTTTGTGGTTGTGCAGGGCAGGGGCTGGATTAGGGCTGGTTGCTGCTGCCCGTACATTCAGTGGTTGTGCAGCAGGATGCTCTTCTGTGGGCGGCAGCCCCAAAACGCGGTCCTGCGGCGGGCGAGCAGGGATGTGGGATGGCTCAGTAAGGCTGTAGCCCAGGCTGTGATGCTTTTTTTTTTTGGGGGGGGGGCTTTGTAGCAGGATCTCCTCCACTCGCTTCATTAGCGCGCGCCCTTTTCATTCCTATGGGCATCAACCAGCGAGCACCTTGCCGGCAGGAGCTGAGCAGAGGTGAAGCCGACGTAAGCACGAGAAGAACCCCCCCACCTCAGTTAGAAGGGGGCTGAGGTGGTCCCTGGGGCTGGGGGTGCAGTTCGGTGGCCGGCTGGGCCAAGGGCGATGCCCCCGACCCGTCCCTCGGGGTGTTGGAGGGGTACCCTGCAGTCACCCAGCGTGCGTTCCATCCCCCCGTATTGCCTCGGGATTTCTCTGCTCCTCCTTCGCTCTGTGTTTGTACCTTCTGCCATCGGCACAATCCAAACTCCTCCTTTTCCCCGCGTGGCCCTTGGGATCTGTTTTCCCTCCCTTCCCCTGCTGCGATGGCGGAGCAGAGGCACGTGGAGGGGCCGCAGCAGATGCTGGCTGTCGGGTCCTCAAGTCATGGCAGTCCCGAAAATCTGGATATCACCCCGAGGGCTCCCCTTTTCCTCCCTGAAACACAATTCCTCAGGGCATTTGCAGAGAGATTCCTGCGTGCAAATCTGCCTGTGTTACTGGTGCTGGGTGCTGAAGGCTTACAGATCCCCGCAAAGGTAGAACTGGGACCTGCTGGTGTTAAGATGGAGCCCAAATGACGACGGCTGCTAAGGAGGGTGGAGTGGAACCTGCTCCCAAACAGATGCGATCTCCAGGGAAAAGCTGGCTTTGGGACAAACCCCGTTCTCCTGCACCCAGTCTTCCTCTCTTTTTAAAGTTGCAGAGTGCTTTGTGTGGTGCCGGCCCTTCCGCAGCCGGGCTTAAGGAAAGGAATTGCTCCAGGAAGCTTTATATGTGACCCGAAATCTAATAAGAACAAAATATTAAAATCAAGAAATACTTGTATCAACTGCAGATCATTTTCCGGCAGCAGAATAGTTGTGGTTGCGTTTCCCATGGGCGGCTTAGCCGAAAGAACAAAGTTCAGCATCGCAGACAACATCCAGTCCTACCCTATTTATAGCTGCGAAGGCGGGGGGCGTGTTTCTTGTGGGCTCCTTAGCTCGGGAGATGCTCCTTGTGATGCCGACACCTGAACTCGACTCTCCAAGGGTCTCTCCGGAGGGCAGCCTGCCTTTCCAGCTCTCCGCGGGGCCGGGCTGCTTTCTGCCCAGCTGGCTCGGGTATTTCCGATAAGGAGGGGATTTTATAACATTTTAACTTTGCAGGTGGGCTGGGCTGGTACGGCTTACACTGCTTTTCCTCATAGAAGAAACCATAGAAGGCCAATGGGGTCCTGGGGCGCATCAAGAGGAGTGTGGCCAGCAGGGCGAGGGAGGTTCTCCTCCTCCTCTGCTCTGCCTTGG